CCTCCTGCCTCAGCCTCCCAAAGTGCTGGGATTACAGGCATGAGCCACCACACCCAGCTCAATTTACCTGGAGTGCAGTGGCACACTGCTCACGGCCACCACAGCATCAACCTACTGGGCTCCGGCGATCCTTCCATCTCAGCCTTCCAAGTAGCTGAAACTACAGGCGCGCTACCACGCCCGGCTCATTTTTTGTTTATTGTGGAGAAGAAGTCTCACCAAGTTGCCGGGGCTGGTCTCGAACCCACAGGCTCAGGCAATCCACTCAGCTCGGCCTCCCAAAGTGCTGGGATGACAGGCTGAGCCACCAAATCCAGCCCCACCATCATTTTTTTACATTAGCTTACCATTGGGCAAAATCATCTAACACAAAGCATATTTTATAATAACATGTCAAAAGTCTCGAGTCATTTATTGAATACTGTACTGAAAGTGAAAAACAGAATGGTAGTAAGGGTAATTGGAGAAGAGTTTTCACCGAATGCATATCACGTCTGCACCATCATTAAAAAAAAATCCCGGGACCGTCTGTACTTGCAAACCAAAATCTAGGTTTTAATGCCTTGGATCTTAGGTCTGCCAAGACCCAGCACCTCCCGCAGGGTGGGGGAAGTCTGCATGAGTCAGAGCTCTTAGCTGCAGGCAACAGACACCAACTCTGACTGAATCAAGAAGTCAAGGGATTTCTGTGGCAGCACAGAAGAAGGGTGGAGGAGAAGAAGACACAGAGACAGCATAAACAGAGGCCAGGCAGGCAGGGGGACAGTCACAGACTCTTCACACCATGACCTACAGAGCCTGGTCAAGGGGAAAGACACATAGAGGCTGGGTGCAGTGGATCATGCCTGTCATCCCGGCACTTTGGGAGGCCAAGGAGGGAGGATCACTTGAGCCCAGGAGTTTAAGACAAGCCTGGGCAACATAGCAAGACCCCCATCTCTACAAAAGGTCGTTTCAAAAAATGAGCTGGGAGTGGTGGTGTGCACCTGTAGTACCAGCTATCTGGGAGGCTGAGGCAGAAGGATCACCTGAGCCCAGGAGGTCGAGGCTGCAGTGAGCCATGATTGTGCCACTGCACTCCCGCTGGGTGACAGAGTGAGACACTGACTCAAAGAGAAAGAGAGAGAGAGAGAGAGAGACATATATAGAGACAAATTCTATGGAGCAGCAAGAGTGAGTGTTTCTGCTTGGGGGATGCCAGGGAATTTCCAGTCTGGAGGTGAGCACAAGGCATGCCCTGAGGATGCCGGATACTGGAAACACCAAGAGCCAGACTTACCAGAGGAATCGGGGCCATGCCTGGCTGGGGTATCAACAAAGCACTCAGCTCCAACTCGCTGTTCATGTCGATGGTATACATTCTGTTCGCAAATGCTCCTTCCAGAAGTTCCATCTAGTTAGGAAGATGAAAAAATAATACTCAGTCCCTGTTCCCAAAAAGAAAGGACAAGCAGGGCTCGGTGGCTCAGCCTGTAATCCCAGTGCTTTGGGAGGCCGAGGTGAGTGGATTGCCTGAGCCCGCAGGTTCGAGACCCGCCTGGGCAACTT